GCGCGCACACATGCCTGCACACACACCACCTCTGCCATGCACTTGGTAGTCTCCTAGTGCTGTCTAGTGGAAATATATTGTAAGCCACATATGCAACTTAAAACTTCCTAGTGATGACTTTTTTTTTTTTAAAGTAAAACGAAGGATTTCCCTAGCGGTCCAGTGATTAGGACTCCACCCTTCCATTGCAGGGGTCACGGGTTCGATCACTGGTTGGGGAACTAAGATCCCACAGCCGTGCAGCAAATAAATAAATAAAAAGAAACAGGTAAAATTTAATTTTAATAATATATTTTACTTAGCCCAACATATGCAAAATATAATCATTCAACTTCAGCATGTAATCTGTATAAAATTATTGCTTATAAAAATGAATAGGAGGGGCTTCCCTGGTGGCGCAATGGTTGAGAGTCCGCCTGCCGAAGCAGGGGACACGGGTTCGTGCCCCGGTCCGGGAAGATCCCACATGCCGCGGAGCGGCTGGTCCCGTGAGCCATGGCCGCTGAGCCTGCGCGTCCGGAGCCTGTGCTCCGCAACGGGAGAGGCCACAACAGTGAGAGGCCCGTGTACCGCAAAAAAACAAAACAAAAAGAATAGGATAGTCTACATTCTTTTTTTGTACTAAGTCTGAAATCTGGTGTATGTTTTACACTTAGAGTACGTTTGAATTTTGACTCGACACATTTCAAATGCTTGATGGTTCATGTAGCTAGTGGGTATGGTGTGGAACAGAATATTAAAGTCTCTATCAGATTCAGGCTGGTAAATGATTGAGTAGATGAATTCATTCTCCATGATCCTTCTGCTCAAGCTTCCCCAGATCCTCCAGGCAGAGTTTGGGTCTCTCTCCTCCCTCCCCACAGCACTTGGGACATACTCCTCTGTGTGGAGAAGAGGAAACAAGGAAAGACAAGGGGAAAATCTGATTCCCCTCCGTACTCCAGTGGGAGCACATGGCTGGTGTTTGCCATTTGATGATGAAGAAAGGATTGTGAGTTTCCATTAAAGACAGGGTTCAGTGGAGTACCATATACTAAAATGGCTTCTATGAAACCATTAAAAATTGTCCCACGAAGTGAGAGAGTGGCATGGACATATATACACTACTAAATGTAAAATAGCTAGTGGGAAGCAGCTGCATAGCACAGGGAGATCAGCTCAGTGCTTTGTGTCCACCTAGAGGGGTGGGATAGGGAGGGTGGGAGGGAGATGCAAGAGGGAGGAGATACGGGGTTATATGTATATGTTTGGCTGATCCACTTTGTTATACAGCAGAAACTAACACACCATTGTAAAGCAATTATACTCCAATAAAGATGTTAAAAAAAAAATTGTGTCCCAGAACAAAGGTTTTTGAACTGTGTTCCTAAAGTTCCCTTCCCAGGACTTGAGGGTGGGAAAATAGTGGGGCTCTGGCCTTCCTTTCCTTAAACTGGAATTGGTTCACTTTTATCTGATTTATATACTAGTGTTCTGGGTAAAAGGCTCTTTTAAAAAAAAAGTTTTCTGCAAAAATATTTGAAAATCATTTTAGAAGCATAGTGGTAAAAATAGGTGCAGTAGACCAAAAGGCTGGATAGGTAGTCTGGGGTGACTGCATTTCCTGTGGCCTTGGTCTTGGACATGCCTGACCCTGGTTCAGCTTGCTTAGGTGGGAGAACCTGACTTGGCCTTGAGGATGTCATGGTCTGATGGGATATGGGACTGCTGCATATGAAGCTACTAGCAGAGGAGGAAAGGGCCCTCGGCTGGGCTTCAGAAGACCCGAAGTCTAGTCTTGGCTCAGCCAGACTGGCTTGTGAGACTTTAGACGAGGCCTTGCCTTTCTCTGGATCTCAGACTCCTCCACTGGAAAGCAAGGAGTTGAACCAGATGATACTTTTGAGCTGTGACCTTCTATGATACACACTTAAAAATAATCATTAAGTAATTAAGGTTTATGCATGTAACATATTGCTCATAGTTCTTTAATACCATTTAGGTCATCTTGCTTTGTGCTCCAGTTAATTGTATCTGTGCCTAATGTCTGCCTTCTCCACTAAGTGTAAGTCCTTTGAGGTTGTGTCTGATTCATCTCTGTGTCCAACCACTGGGGCTGGCACAGGCAGGCCTTCAGTATATTGCAGAATATACTTGCCTGCAGTATATTTGCCTGCAGTATATTTGCAGAATAAAATTGCCTTAATAAAGCACTAATATGTATGGAAGCATCAGAGACCAGGTGACTTGGAGCCACTTTTATGGCACAGGCATAGGAAGGGCCAATAAGGCCAGAGGAGAAGGAGACAGGTAGACAGGTGGGGCTGTCTGCAAAGGCTTCTTGGAGGAAGAAGATGGTGAGGTGAAGAGGGTAGGAAGAGGACACAACTCCAGACGGACTGTTTCTCTCACTTGCTTTCCCTGAATAGGTGAGTTCTTGGCAGTGTACATTTGTGTTCACAAGCATCTGAGAGAAAAGGTCACTGAGCTAGGACATTTAGAAATGAGAGAATATATGAAAGCACTTGGTGGGGGTAGAATAGAGAGATCAGAGACAGGTTCTGGAGCCAGACGGTCCAGGATTCAAATCCTGGTTGTACCACTTACATTGTGGCTTTTGACAAGTCACATGACCTCTCATTCATTCCTTAAACACATATTTATCGAAAACCTCTGGGCCAAGCATAGTGTCACATGCCAATGACACAGTGGTGAAAACAAAAGCAAGCCCCTATCCTGATGTAACTAGAAAGGGAGATAAATCTTAAACAGGTAATGATACAAAAGTACAGAGTGCTATAAGAGCATACAACAGAGGCATTTAGTTTCATTTTAAAACCAGAATGACAATACTGTGTGCTTTGTGGGATTGCGAGGATTCAGTGAGATAAGCAAGCTGAGTGTCTAGCAGATTGCCCAGGGTACAATTAATAAACATTTATTTCTGCATGTACTCATGTTGTTTTCAAGTTTTTCTCCCTGATAATTCTTCCCTCTTTCTCAAGGTCAAATGCTAAAGCTGACTCAGTTCCCCTAAAAGAGCAGGATGAAGACAGAGAGGGGGAGGAGAAAGGCCCTGAACTGATCTCACCCCTGCCCTGGTGTTTTCCAAATGGGTCTTCCCAGCCTGGTCCTCACTGAGCTCCAGCTCCTATGGCTCACCAGTGGCCCACAGGGTTTTCTGCTCAGTCCCAGTCCCAGCCTCTTCAAGCTAAATCTGAGTTCTTCTTTTTCTCTCATGTGGCTCCAGGGACTCAGCCGTCTTGGTTCTCCTCTTGATTCCCTGGCCTTCCCTCTTTCAGCCTGCCTGAGCGGAAATACGAGTCTCCTGCTCATTATTCCCCTTATTGCTACCCCCAAAGATAAGCCCAATGTCTCATTTCATGAAATGAGAAGGTGATGGGTAATACAGGAGATAGCAGAAAGAACAAACAGGGGAAGTGACAAATGAAACAAAGTTCTAGAGTCGCATCCTGGGACCAATTGTTCCTGATTCCCCCTGAGGAAATAACTGGATGGGGGGAGGGGCAACAAGCACATGCCCAATCCTTCTGGAGGGTCCCTCGTCCCAGACAGGCAGAACAGTAGTTGTCCTGTTTGCCTCCAGGACACCTTTGCCTCTTTGAGCTTCTCCAAACTGGGTGGTACCCAGGTCATCTGGCATACTCCCTCTGGGAAATTCCTCTTTCTTCAGCCCTGGTACATTCCAGGAGCAGCTTGGTTTGCCCAGAGTCACACAGCAGAGCCACGATGTGAATCTAGGCAGTATAATTCCAGAACCCGTCCTCCTCCCCCAATCCGTATGCACAGCCTCTCTGACTGTTTTAGGCAGTTACTTGTTCCTCCTCTGTGCTCCTTCACTTGCCCCTGTACCAATTTCTCTCAAGACATTATCAACACGTTCTAATTACTCTTCATCTACATATTTCCCCGAAAAACCGAGCTCTTTGAGGGTAGGAACTGGGTTGTTACAAACAGGGGCTTGGTAGATGTTGAATGAACGAACATTGGCCGTAAGATTCTAGAACTGATTCTGGAAAGGGAGATGATTCTCTTTGTGAAGCTAGCCTGGAAAGAGTTGTTACAAGCCAAGTTTTCTCTCCTCATTCTGTACACAGCCAGACTCTTAGTGATAGCTGTACTTGCCATTTTTGGACACCAGGGAGCACCACTGATAACACAGCCTAAACTTACAGATTCCTAAACTTTTCTGAGCAGGAGATTCCGGACTCTTTTAGTACACTTCTACTGAAGATTCTCTTGAAGATTCTCTCACTTTCCAAATGAAAGCTGTTGGTAATCAGAAACCCTGTGAGAGAAAGGACAGCTAAGCTGCTGTACAGAACACTCATCGTTCATTCGTTTACTCTTATTGAGTACCATCTCTGTACTGGGTACAGTCCTAGCTTGGGAGAATACAAAGATAAATGAAAAGGGGCTTCCCTGGTGGCACAGTGGTTGAGAGTCCGCCTGCCGATACAGGGGACACGGGTTCGTGCCCCGGTCCAGGAAGATCCCACATGGCGCGGAGCGGCTGGGCCCGTGAGCCATGGCCGCTGAGCCTGCGCGTCCGGAGCCTGTGCTCCGCAATGGGAGAGTCCACAACAGTGAGAGGCCTGTGTACCGCAAAAATAAATAAATAAATAAATAAATGAAAAGAAGTCCTGGGACTTCTCTGGTGGTCCAGCGGTTAAGACTCCACGCTCCCAATGCAGGGGGTGTGGGTTTGATCCCTGGTTGGGGAACTAAGATTCCACATGATGTGCCATGGGGCCAAAAAATTAAAAAAATTAAAAAAACAGAAAAAAAAGAAATGAAGTCCTTGATAAACTCAGGAGCTAATGGGGAAGATAGATACTTATTGGATAATCATAATTCAGTTATATAAGTACTCTAAGGTACTTAGAGTAGCAGGAGACTGGAGAAACAGGGTAAGTCAGGGAGGTGGGAAAAGAAGGGAGGTGACTTTTGAGCTGGCTCTTTTTTTTTTTTTTGACTAATCATAACTTTTGGTTCATGCTATGCTGTCATCAGTGATCAAGGTATGGCTGATTTATATCACTTGAACTGAGACTTGAAGGATAGGGAGGAAATCCCAGAGGAGAAAGAGAACTTGATGTGGTTGCCACTTCATCTTCTTAGGCTCAGTTTCCTCATCTGTAAAATGAGTATAGTCTCTGACTTATCTAGCAGAGGTTTTGAGGGAGAGATAAGATAATAGATGTGAAAGCTCTTGCAAATAGTAGAATAGAGGCATAAGAATTGTTAATCCGGTTTGATTTAACCAACATCTGCAGAATATCTATTAGGAGCAAGGCCCTAAGAGTGATGCAAGGGAGATATTCCTGGCACACGGTAAAGGCTTGGTGTATAGGTTTCAAAAAGACACAGAGATGAAAAAAACAAAACAAAACCAAGCTCTCGATTTCCTCCTGAGACACAATGTGGTGAGGGCTTCTTGCAGAGGCTACACTTACATGAGGACCCAATCTAGGGTCTACTGAGGTGAGAGTCACAGCTTCTGATCCAGGAAGATCCATGAGGTCGCAGGATTTTCCTACCTTATAGAATATTAAAGCTGAACTGGATCAATAATCTGGTCCCTACCCATCCCATAGTTGGGAAGACTGAGATCCAGAGGGGCACTGGCTTTTCTGATGTCACATCATGATCTTGGAGGCAGAGATGAGACAAGAATGTTTCTCCTATTGTCCAGGCCATGGCTTTTGCTCCCAGACACCATTTATTTTTACTTTTATTTTTAACTGTGGTAAAATACACATAACATAAAATTTACATTTTAAGTGTATTAAGTACATTCACATTGTTTTGCAACCAGTTTCCAGAACTCTTTTCATCTTGCAAAATGGAAACCATATCCACTAAACAATTCCCTATCCTCTTCTCCCCCCAGCCCCTGGTGACCACTATCCTGCTTTCTGTCTCTATGAATTTCACTACTCTAGGAACCTTATATAAGTGGAATCATACAGCATTTGTCCTTTTGTGACCAACTTATTTCACTTAGCATAATGTCCTTAAGGTTCATTCATGTGTAGCATGGAGAATTTCCTTCCTTTTAAAGGCTGAATAATATTCCATTGCATATATATATATATTTGTCACAGTTTGTTTATATAGTCATCCAACCATGGACACTTACTTGGGTTGCTTTTGGCTATTGTGAAGAGTGTTGTTATGAACATGGGTGTACAGATATCTCTTTGAGACCCTGTTTTCAATTTTTTTGGGCATACGCCCAGAAGTGGAATTGTTGCAGCATATGGTAATTCTGTTTTTAGTTCCTGGAGACCATTTTAGCGTCACAGGAAATGCAACAGGCTCTGAGAGTTTCAAGGTCTTGGTGTGAATTGGTAATAGACCCTTGCTTCCTGTCTCCAAGACCCAGGCTCTTTGTACCACATGGGTTTTGCAACCATACCCTCAAAGAACTCACATGGTAGCTAAGAGAAAGATGCACTTGAGTTTAAAGGAGGTTGTATTAAGCATGATTTACTTTTCTTTTTTCTTGTGTGTTCTCTTTGACAAATGAGTACACAGGCAGGTGGGTTGGCTTAGGCAGAAATTATAAACATGTAGTCTGAGTGATCAATTTATACTATAGATGTAGGGCTATATCATTTTTAAAGGGCTATATCATTTTTTTTTCTGTTTTGATTTTTTTAAATTTATTTTTTGGGCTTCTCTGGTGGCACAGTGGTTGAGAATCTGTCTGCTAATGCAGGGGACATGGGTTCGAGCCCTGGTCTGGGAGGATCCCACACGCCGCGGAGCAATTAGGCCCGTGAGCCACAACTACTGAGCCTGCGCATCTGGAGCCTGTGCTCCGCAACAAGAGAGGCCGCAACAGTGAGAGGCCTGTGCACCGCGATGAAGAGCGGCCCCTGCTTGCCACAACTAGAGAAAGCCCTTGCACAGAAACGAAGACGCAACACAGCAAAAATAGATAAATTAATTAATAAAAACTCTTACCCCCAACATCAAAAAAAAATTTATTTTTAAAATTTAATTTTTATTTTATATTGGGGTATAGCTGATTTACAATGTTGTGTTAGTTTTAGGTGTACAGCAAAGTGGTTCAGTTATACATATACATATATCCATTATTTTTCAGATTCTTTCCCCATATAGGTTATTACAGAATATTGAGCTCCCTGTGCTATACAGTAGGTCTGTGTTGATAAAGGGGCTACATCATTTAAAAGTCCAGATTCCCATCTTCTCTTAAAGATGATCCAGCAATACTGAGTTCACCTTCTTGCCTGCTTACCAGTGTGCCCCAGTCCCTACCACTCCCTATTACTCGCACCTACTTCTCTCAATAATATTAGCTATTTTCCCATTTTCCATTTGAATTTCAGACTCCTGGTTCCGAGTGTAGGTCTAGTAGAACCTAGATCAGGGGCTCATCTTCTGTTAGGGCCAATTTCCCAGCACACAGTTGTTACTCAATAAATATTTGCATGATCAAATGAATTAACTCATGTCAACCAGCTTTTATTGAGCACTTACTATGTACAGGGCCTATGGCTGGATGGCCATTTCCCAGAGATGAATAAGGCACAGCCCCTGACCTCTGAAAAGTCACAATCCTATGGGGCGGGGGAAGGCAGATATGAGTATGGTCCAATTGTGGACCTGAGGTGGCAGTCAGAGTAGGATTTTCTGAGAAGATCTTGAACTGCATCTGGAAGAATGAGAGGCCAGCCATACGAGGGAGTTGATGGGGAGGCCAGGAGGGGAGACTGTTTCGGGTAGAAGCAACAGCCGATACAAGGGCCGGGAGGTGGCTGATGTTCCATGTATTTGAGAAACTTAAAGAAGGCCAGTGCGACTGAAGTTTAATAAGAGAGTGGGAAGCGTGGTAGTAGATGACGTCAGATGTGTGTTTTTATATCGACAGCCTAACCCTTAAGCCAGGCAGCTATTGGGCAAATCCGTTTTCCCGGTCTTCAGAAGCCTTGCTCAGAACAGGTAGCTGGCTTAGCACTGTCAGAGTGGGGACGGGGCCTAATCCCTTCCCTTGCCTCAGGTGCCAAGGACAGGGTAGGGCACAGAAGCAGGTTTCAGTAAAGATTTGCTGACAGCACACTTGAGAACAGGAAGTGCAGGCTCTGTTGAAGGAGGCCCAGGCGCAACTCCCTCTTTATGAGGGCACTCATTCTCAAGTCGCTAACACCCCCAAGCCACACAGAGAGCTGGGAGAGTGAGATGCAGGGAGGAACCAGCCACAGGCCCTACCCGCAAAAACCTCAGAGGGGAGGGTATTTGGAGGGGGGGTTAGGAAAACGGGCTGTGAGAGTTAAGGGAGGGCATCCGACTTAGCTTGGATGAGGCGGGGAGGGGGCGTCAGGTAGGCAGATGGGGTCATTTAGCCAAGACTTACGGTATGTGTTGGGCAATTTTACCTACAGTGGTTTGGACGCTTCGTGTGTTTTCTGGCATCATTTCCTCCGAAACCACTAGCAGGCCCTAATGGGCCTCCCCCCGGGGCGGGTCCTAGCTCTATTCCTCAATCCTCTGCAAAGGGGCAGGGCCTCCCAACGAGCTCGGGCCCTGTTCGCAGCGCCCAGATTTGCCCGCCAGGGGCCGCTGCGCACGGGTGACGAAGCGCGAGGGTTCCTAAGCTGCAGAGAGGCGGAAGCGGATTGGTTGCAAGGCGCGGCGGGGAGGGCGGAGCCTGGGATACCGGCCTGGAGTAGGGGGCTGGCAATGGGCCCCCCGGCCGAACCGGGCTGGGCAGTTGTCGCCTCAGGCAGCCCCGGGCGGCAGTCGTGGTGCCGAGGGTCTTTGCCCTGACCAGCTCTAGAGCTTGGGCGAGTGGAGCAGCACCGAGGCCCGGAGATCTGGCAGGGCAGCTACTGTCATCGTCGCTGCCGCCGCAGGCCTGGGTTACCTGAGCGACTGCGTGTCAGGGGCCCGCCCGCTCGTTCGCGGGCTGTTAGTGCGGGAGGGGCTCTCGTGGGGGAGAGGGAGGCCGGGACCCGACCCTTGGCTGGGGAGAGAGGTCCTGGCGGAGACTAGAGCGGGCCGAGAGCCGGGAGAGCCCTCCGGGGTCTGGGGGTGCCGGGCGGCTGTCTCTAACAGGTTATTCCGGGGTAAGCCGGGCGCTGGGGCGGGCTCGGGCTTCGCAGGGGGCCGGGCGGCGCGGGGCGGGCCTGCGGGAGAGCACGCCCCCGCCCGCCCCGGGCCCGCCCCGCGCCTCCCGCCCGCTCGCCGGGGAGCCTCTGTCCCGGGCCTGGCCCGTGCGCGTCCGCCTGCTGAACCTGGGCACCGCCGGCCGCCTGGGCACGGGACTGGGCGGGAGCACTGACCTCGGCCTAGGAGGCCTGGGATCCCCGAGCCGCCTGCACCCGCGGGGGCCTGGAAGTCGCACGCCCTTCCCGAACCTGTGCCCCTCGCCGATCCTCGGCGGTGCGAGGCCAGGTGCCCCCCTCTTTCCCTCCCTTCTTTCCCTCCCCCACTCCGGTGCCCGCTGGAGGTCCCGCCCGCCCGCCCCCTCCGGCAGGGGTGTAGCTGGCTGCGGAGCTGACACCGGCTCCGCGGCCACCCTGTCCAAACTCTCCGGAAGCGGCCCGAGCCGACCGGGTACTCAGGCCGTCGCAGCTCCGGCGGACCCACTGTTGGACCCGAGGCGCCGGCCCACCTCCCGCGCCCAAACTTGGAGCACTTGACCTTTGGCTGTCTGAGGAGGCAGACTCACGGGTGGCTGGACAGCTGCGGCACCTCGAGGGCATCTTGCCTGGGGTTCCAGGACCGTCAGCCTCTGGGATCCTGAGGTGTCTACATCAGGCGCATGTTGACTGAGACCTGGAGTCATGGATGTTTGCGCCCGTCTTGCCCTGTGGCTCCTCTGGGGGCTTCTCCTGCATCACGGCCAGAGCCTCAGCCAAAGCCACAGCGAGAAGACGACGGGAACCGGCTCGGGGGCCAGTTCTGAGGAGTCCACTGTAGCAGGTAAGGCCTTGGCCACGGACAAGAACTGAGTTGCCCAAGTGGGGAAGTCGAACCCTAGGTTTATACACCTGCGATTGATGGCAGACCCACACATGGCACTGCCTGTTCTTCGTAGTCCAAAGAGTTCTTTCCCTTCTAATGTCTTTGTCTCTCTTAAACAACTTTCCTCATCCCTCCTCAGGATGTCTTTTGTTGGCAGTGAAAAGAGCTCTGCTTTTGGGGCACCTTGGCCTTTCGGATCAGCAAGTCAAGACCCCTTCTCATGACTACTTGTCTGGACTGATGCCCTGGGCAGATGATAAGTCTGTTGCTCTTGGCCAGCTTCAGCACTTGGCAGCACAGGGGAGGCTGAGGCTACTTGGGTTGGGTAGGAAGAGTCAGGACTGGGCCAACTGTATTACTCTCTAACTTAGTGTTGAGGTGTGCCTTTCTATTACAATGAGCGTGGGGACCCTATTCTCTCCCTTCCCTTAGGTAATCTGCTGTCTTCTAGCTGTGCCCATTTGAAATATCAAGGCAGTTCCTTAGATGGAATCCTATTTACCACCAGGGAGTTAAATGGCCTTTTGTTGACATGGGCATGATGTAATTCCTGGGACCACTTGTTGACTTATTCTGTTTCTTCTGACTGATGAGGGTAGGAATTGTACAATATTTTTGATCTGTCCTGGTTTTTCCTATGCACTTATGGAGGCTTGTCAAACAGTAGGAGCCCTGGTATTGTTGCAGAAGAAAGAGCACTTTTAAAATGCAGTTGTTTTACACAAGGCTTAGAAGGTATCCAATTTTTTATCCCTGTTTCTCTCACCCGGTCACTGTGATCTGCCCAAAATAGTGAGATGCAGAATGAGGAGAGTTTATAGCTGGGTTCTTTCTACGGTGGGGCAAGCTCAAGTGAGGGGACGCCTCAGTGAATACCTGTAGATACAAGGAGGAAAAGGAAGTGTAAATCATGGTGGCCAGGAAGTTTCATGGATGGATCCAGAGGCTGGCTTTGGTGCTAGACCCTTTCTTAGGAAACCCCCTTTTAAATTCCTTGACTGGGCTGGGTGTGACTGCAGGTACCCCAAGGGCTGGCTTCCAAGTGAGGCCAGGGTTGCCCTATGTACAAGCATGGCACCTAGGCTGTTGCTTTGAAGATAGGTCCTTCTTGCATATTAATCCTGTTTCTTGCGTATTAATCCTGTTTCTCCATACAGTGTCTCCTTGGCCCCTGAACCCTAGCTCAAAGCTTGGCTCTCATTGGGCTATGAAGGCAGATGTAGGTCAAACTGTGCAGAAGACCTGAGGAGCCTCTCTGCTGTCCCAGTGACATTCCTGTTTGTAACTGATAATATGTCCTTTTTTCACCCTAAAATATGAGTGCCTGACATAAAATGAATTTTCTTTTGGGGGAGAGGAAGTGTTCTTTATTTTAGACACAGTGCTAAAAGAGATGAAGTTTTGAATTTAGGCATTAGCTAGCTGTCAGGAAGATTTGTGTGTTTGTACATGCCATAGGTAAGAGGCACTCCAGCATCCCTCGTAACCAGCCCCTGGCTTGAGCTTATGGAGACAGCCCTCCACACAACATATTTTAGAGGCTTGGCTGTGTTGATTATACTACTTTGGCTTCTCTTTTGGTCTTTTCTTCCTCTCAGTTCAGAAATTAGTTTCTATTGTCACAGTAATATTGAAGCCCAGGGAGGAAATCTCAGAGACCCTAGGTGCTGGGAATGACTATAGTTTGTGGTAACCTGGAGGCCCCAGCACTGTTGTTCTGGTAGGTTGTCACCTTGGGCCTGTCTGGGACTTTGACTCAGATAAGAACTCATTTTTGCAAAGAGGTGAACTGGGCTCATGGACGGGGCTCTTCTAAAGGATTTGGTGAGGAGCTGTCTACACAGCCAGGAACTCTTGTAGCCTTTCCAGTCCCTCTGTATCCTCAGAACACAGGAGTTTTACTTACCCTTAAAGCTTCCACTTTTCTAAATCAGATTCAACATATCTAGTCAATTTGTATGTTCTCTAAAGTTTGTATTTTACACAGCTGTTTTTCCCATAGTCTCGCAATTGCTCTATTAGAATGCAGGGCAGGTGGTATTATCCCCATTTTTATTGTTGAAGAAATTGAGTCCTATGCTCAGTTTTCTGATTTTTTTTAAAGATTTTTTTGATGTGGACCATTTTTAAAGTCTTTATTGAATTTGTTACAATATTACTTCTGTTTATGTTTTGGTTTTTTGGCTGCAAGGCATGTGGGATCTTAGCTCCCCGACCAGGGATTGAACCCGCACCCTCTGCATTGGAAGACAAAGTCTTAACCACTGGACCATTAGGGAAGTCCCACGTTTTCTGCTTCTTAAGTCCTAGACTTCTTCTGTCTTCTCAGGCCCTGCCCTGTTAAAGGAGCACTAGGTAAGGCCAAGAGAATGTTACTTTCTTCTTGGTGAGTTAGTTAGGCAGCGCCTGGTGACTCTGTAGCAGAGATCCAAAAAAGGGCTGTCTTTTTCTCCTCTGGACAGTCTTCTGCAGGGGCCAGAAAATTGCATTTTTTCTCTTGTTGGATGTACATGGCTATCTTAAAGGTCTGCCCCTCCAGGGAAGGCAGGTGCTCTGCTAGAAGGCCTTCTGATTGGGAGAGGCCATTCCTGTCACCTTCTGGCTCTTTGATGCCTGTATACCCAGTTGTGCTAAGTTACTTTCTCAGTAAAGATCTGTGCTTGACTGTGCTGCTCTGAAGCCTGCACTTCTGAAACTGCCTGGAATTGATGCTTGGAACCTCCCTTAGACTCTGGACTCATTGCCTCCAGAAATTCAAAATGTTTCCTGCAGAATGTGTGTGAGGGGTCCCACGTGAGTCTGGAGTTGTGACTCCCAGTGTTGGTTGAGGACCTCTACTCAGGAACTGTGGTTCTACTCAGTATAACTAGAACTGGGCTTTGGAGGATAGGCCTCTAGGCAGTTTATGGAGTGCAGGTTGGCTTCTCAATCCACCCCTAATGGAGTGGGAGGCCAGAGTCCTGCCTGCCCACCCAGCTAGTTGCTGCTGCCTCCAAGGCTATAAATGGCCTGGCCATCTTGGTGGCTATGCTAATTTTAGCTGAGGGTGGTTCCCGGAACTGGATTGGAGCCAAGGGCAGGTGGGTGCGGCTTGGCTGAGGCTAATATTGGGGGATGGGCAGAGGGTCACACTAATCCTGGGGCAGCTAGGACATCATCTGCACCCACACCTCAGCTTTGACAATCATCCTTAACCAGGTTAATTTATTCAGCAAACATTGAACAGTGTCAGCTCACGTGCTGTGTATTCAGCATATATTTGAGTGCCTGCTCTGGGCCAGGCACTGTGTTTGGTGTTGGGAATTAAAGGATGAACAAAACAGACATGTTCTCTGCCTTCATGGAGTTTACAGTCTAGTGGGGAGATAGAAAATAAATACATAAATAAATATAGTGTCTTGTAATTTTTGTGGAAGAAAACATAAACAGAGTGCTGTGATGGAGAACGGGAAGAGGACAGAGATCCAGCTGAAGTAGGAACCCAGTGCCTAGCAAGACATTAACAACATCAGTAACATCAACAATAATAGCAACTGACATTTTTTAGTGCCTACTGTGGCAGGCACTATTCCAAACATTTTATTCTTTTTAATTCTTACAGCCATCCTGTGTGCTTGGTATTATCCCTGTTTTATAAGTGAGGAACTGAAATCATAGAGAGGTCAAGTAAATTACCCAAGGTTATACAGATAGTAGGGAATAGAGCCAGAATTTGAACCCAGGCAGTCTGACTCTTCTCCCCACCTCCACCTCAGCCACTAGGTTATACACTCTTTCAGAACTTTGTGATAAGCGCTGTAGTAGAGGTATGATATATACATACAAAAGGCTGTGGGAAGCCCAGAGGAGCAAGTGACTAACCCTGCCTGGGAGAGCTGGGGGAGGCTTCTCAGTTTCCTCCATAATTTTTCTCAGATCTTGGGGAGATAAAAAGTGGTTGCCTAATTCAAAAGTTAAGAGGTGGAAACATCAGTTAGTTCAACTTATTTATTTTTACATATGAGGAAACTGATGTCCAGAGAGGCGTCACATAGAAATTCCACAATGGGTTATTAGTAGAACTAGACTAAGACATTTGAGTCAGGGACCCTGGCGTAATCAGTTATTCAATCCACAAGTCTGTAATGAGTGCTTACTGCTTGCTTTGTACTATGGAAGGAATTTAGGGCTACCAAAGAAGTCTAGTTTGGGGGTGGGGGTGGGGATATATATTTAGAGACTATTAAATACAACATAATGCACAGGCTTAATGAAGCACAAAACCAAGCAGTGTAGACAGTGTAGGCTAAGGATTACAAGAGCTCTGCGTGGGCTGAGCTAGGCTAAGGTGGCTGGGGAGGGCTTCCTGGAAGGAGGGGTTGGGCGGAGGCATAAGAGAACGGGGTGGGGAGTGGTCTGACTTGGGGATTGTTGGAGGGAAGGGGGCATTGTAGAGGTCTGGATCACCAGTGTGAGCACATGGGGTCTCACTGGCGGCTGAACAATAACTGGGCAGAGTTGCTTCATAGTTGGCCAGCTACCTCGCATGAGGGCTGGTAGACAGGAAGATTGCAGTCACGTGTGGTGTGTGGCAGGTCTCATAACTACTGTAATTTTGAAGTAATGATGATTATGAATAATATTTGGAGATATCTATACCAATGTAATGTGACATGAAAATGTCTGTACTTTCTGTTGGTGACAAAATCATAGGTAGTGCTAATAATATTATGGTTGATTATTATGTATGATTGAAGGAAATGCTAACTTTCAGTAAGAGAATGTTGAAAATAAAGATGTAATTTCTTTCCCATCCAAATTCACCCCCCCCCCCCCCCCCCCCACCCAATTCTTCTCATGGGCTTCTTAGGAATGTGGAGCCATCATGCTAAGAACTCCTGTTCTCTGACAAGGAAGGGATGAGGTCTTGATGGGACGGTTTCCTAGGTCTTCACAGGACTTGAGTTTGAGCCCCAGGG